TCTCTGACCACAGGTCACTGATTTATTGAAAAAGGGATTTCATTCATTTCATTTCTTATCTTGTTTCTAAGATCTCACAAAGATGATCCTTGTCTTTATATGTTTCTATTATACTTCTATTAAACAATTCTTGTGTGTAGCTCTCATTACACACCACGACTAAAGCTTTAGCATTTCCTGAACCTGCAGTAACTTGCAAAGAAAAGCAGTCATGGTGACTTTTAATTGTTTCCTGTGTGTTGCCGTGCACACACTAAAAAAAGAGATATGACCAAAGAACAACACTTTTACTAGTAGGATGTAAAACAGTACAGACGCACAGTTTCACCAGTCTATTGTTGAATACAATAGGTTTTAACGGTGCATGGCCACAGGTGAACTTTATCAGCGTGACTCATGTATTGCTTTCTGTGTGTGGCAGGGATGCACGTTATTTCAAAAATCACAAACGGAAGAAACATGACCAGGAAAGAAATAAAAAACCTTCAGGTAGTTTGTGGTAGAAATTACTTTAAAGATATAATCCAGCTAATTTGAACTCACTTTTATCAGAGCAGATTTCTATTAAAAGAAAAAAAAAGATCAGCTTGACTGTAGAAAACAAGCTTGTAGTTTGTGTGTGTGTGTGCAGGTGAGAGGACAATACCTTGCCTGATGCCCTCCAGTTGTTTTTTCCTCTTTTCCTGAATCCCTCAGGTAGGTCCCTCCCTCCACTCAGCTGATTGGACCACAGGACTGTTCTTTCTGCTCTCATTGGCTGTGCCGTGTATTCACCGTCTCCTCCAGGTAGCAGGTCCATACTTGAGCTCAGGTAAAACCTACCTGTGAGACAGAAGAGAGGGGAGGGCTGTGGGATTCTTCCTTAGCTTTCAGCTCCAACAAGACGCAGTTAACAGTAATAACTACTTTATGCGATTATAACCCAAACTCACAGGAAGATACATTTGTTTAAATAATCATTTTAATGGCAACGAGTGTAGGACTGGCCATGAATCCGCCGCATACGACAGACGAAAGGGCGGTTTTCACGCAGCTGAAGCCGGTGAGGATGTCGGGAGCGGACGGCTCTGAGGACACGTCCGTGTTTGAGGACGTCAAACCCGCGGTGAGAGTCTCCGCCTACCCGCTGAGGACGGCCGGGCTCCTGGTGAACTGGAGGTCCGGCCTCTCTGGGTGCTTCGATAACTGTTCACTATTGATTTTTTTTACCTTCACTTTCATGTGTGGCTGCAGGGGCTGCTTCAGTCAAAGTAAAAACTGGTTTTGAGGATAAACTAACCTGTTCACAACCTTTCAATTAGCGCTAAGCTGCATGGTGTGCACATTTTTCTGTTTGTCCGGCTGGTTTTACCTGTGAAAGGACGCAGCTCACCTGTACAGGCAGGTTAAAGTCCTACACACACACCTGACATGTTAGAAAACGCAGGTAAAGTCCTGGGGCAACTAGTGGCAGTTGTGCAATATAAATGATTGAATACAACTTTATTTGTACTTCTGCAATGTAAGGAACATTGATTTTAGTAGACTCAGTTTGAAGCTGCTGTTGATTTATGTTGCTTTTAAGATTCTATAATGTCATTCTCATACACACAGTGCAGTTTTGTTGATTGTATTAACTTTAGATACAGTTACAGTTATTTCAGGATGTAGAGATAAGCTTTGTATACACACTGTGTTGATATGAATATACTGCAAAGTTTATTTCATATTATTTTGATAGTACACATACACTAAGCTGGGCCAGTAAAGAGCTGAAGCACACACGAGGTTTCCTGCTTGTTTCCTCAGATTATGAATACCGAACCCGCCTGTCCAAGCTGTTCAGTCATGGGATTTGATCACATGATGGAGAAGCAAGTTGACTTTTAGACAAGTCTGTAAAATGGATTCTTCTCCATCAATCATCACATTCCTTTGTAGATCTGTCTGTCTGCCCAAGATAATCGGTGAAAACTTGTTGCTCTGATGTCGGAAATGTGCCTGAACATTTCAGGAAGTGACTCACGTCATGTTGTAGCAGGGGAGGGTTGCATGATTAAAGTAGGAAATCGGTAATACTAGAGGATAAAGAACATTTCATGACCACCCCCCATCGCTTTGTTAAACACGATACAACCGATCACAGCAGAGACATGACAGCTGCATTAAAGTTAAATGGCGGTGAATTGTGAATTGGCCCTGCGTGATTACAACAGAACCCAAACAGAAACCGGATGCCTCATACGGTGCTGAGTTAGGCCTCCTACCAGGTGTTTGGTAAACAGGCGGCAGACCCTAAAACTGCTCTGCTCCTCTGTGGGTCCCACATGACCAGCAAATGCAGAGCCCCACTGGATTTGATACAGTGAAGATGTTGGTTCACCTGGCTCTTGGTTGCTTTTTTGTTATTCTCTGGTGGTGTCGATGTAGGTGGATATGATTACCTGCGTGCAACATATTCCGCACAAAGCGTCATGTGTTGAGTAGGCCCCGGCTTATGCTGTTGATTTTTATGCAAACGTGGAGTGTAAGCGGTCACATGCTGGAGCTGTTTTGAGCTGACTTTATGGGCATTGTCACTTGGACAGGTGCAGGAGTCCTAAAGGCTATGTGCAACAGTGAAACTCAGATACTCACTTTTGGATGGATCAGGAGTTTGTCTTGCCTTGTTTTCTTCTTTTTAAAATATTTTTTGTATGTAACCATGTCTCTACCAATTGTCCTTTTTCTATCTAAAACATCCAGTTTTGTATAAATTCTGATTGTAAATAATAACGATGTAATATTTAACATTTCCACATTAGAATGTCTTAAAGCGCTAGACATGCTATATACTATATGCTATATATTCTGTTTTCCAACAGTGTTTAAACCCAGAGTCATATTTCCGTTTGCTTGCTTGCCTCTAGTTGCTATAACTTTTGGGTATATACATGGGATACGTCAGAGAGTGAGAAAGGAAGTCGGCGAATGCGAATCAAATTAACGTAAATCCAAGTTTACACGTCACGTCAGATGGATTTTACGTCTGCAAGGGTGGTTTAACAATGAAGAGAACAACTCCCACAATCCCAAACTACTTCACACTGTCATCAAACTACGACTTTTGTTACTGTTTTGATGTGCGAGACCCCCTAGTGGCAGAATATGACATACTCGGTTTTCAGTTCATTGAAAAATGTGCACAAATGCTCAAATGTTGTTTTCTTGTGGTTTTTTTAGTTACTATGTCTTCTTCTATCTTCAAGTTTTTATTCTGGGTGAGCTGCTCTGCCTGTCTTGCTACAATGCTAAATGTAGGTCAGTCATAAACAGAGAAGAATTATTTTATAGCCCAAATGAACTAGTTTGTGTGCTTGTTGGATCTCACAAATCACAATGTAATGCAGCTGAAAACCTGAGCATGAGCACAGGTTTTAGTTGTCAATCAGTGACTTCAGCATCATAAGACAAATCTTTGTAAGAATCATCTGACATTATTGCTTCGAATAAAACAACTTAGAAGTATATATTTTAACATAAAAACACCATGTGATACTTCTGTAACAGCATGGTTTATGTGACTTTTGGTGTTTCCTCTGAGGTTTCGCTCGAGACAAGTGGCTAACATTCAACTGCTTTTTCTCTTGTTTCTCGTTGCAGTAACATGCAGTGTTTGATGTTATGCAAAACATGACTTTGTCAAGAACAAAGAAGTCAGGTTAAGAGAAATGGTTACCCCTAAGGCAAATGAATGCCAACCGCAGCAGAGGGTTCACCTTATGTGCTCTTGATTCACTATAAATGTGCATGAAGTGTGTTTCTCAAACACATTCCTCACAGATCACAGCAGGTCACTCTCCGTCTCTTTCATCCTTTTTCGTCTCCTGTCTATAATTTGGTTTCAGGGTTTTCGACTTAAGCACAACAGAAAGTTGGGGGGTGGGGGGATTCTGCTTCTTTTCTTTTTTTCACTTTCTTTTTTTTCTTCTTTTTTTCTTCTTTCTTTGTGTCATTGTGTTGGTGTTTTAAAGAGCACTTAACTGAGCCTGTATCGTGACAGCAGTATGTTGCCCAACCTGTCTGAGCAGGGCCCGCATCTCCGCAGGCTGCCTCGAGGCAGTGGGTAGGATGATAAAGGCCGACCTCATGAGAAAGTCACAGCAGCAGTGAAAGGCTGATGAGGCTCCACGAGCACATGTCACATGCGTAGGGGCCTTTGGCTCACTTGTGTCTTTGTTGTGTTTATCAGTGTTTATGCTGTGTGCTGAGTAATTTGTCAAAAAATTGTCAGTTTGAGGATGTTAAAGCAGTTCAGTCCTCCATAAGATGAAAAGTGAAAATACATTTTGTATACTCAGTCTCTTTATATACTTGCTGTAAACCCAACGCTGACATTATGGTATGCACATGCATTTTTATGGTGCCTTTCTAGTCTTACATCCAGTAGTCCCCCTTTATGCTACATTTCAGATTTACACATTCACACACTGATGGCAGAGGCTGCCTTGCCTCTACCTTATAAAGTTGTCATGGCAATAGTGTCAGCAAACAGTTACGTATTTACACACCTCCTCCTTTTAGCTCTGTTATAGTACTCTATGAACTCCTGAAGCAAATGTCTGACTCTTTTGCTGCTAAATGTTCATCAGCTAGTCACTTTACTTGCCAATTGGTGCTGGGTAAGTAGTGTATCAGGTTTCAGAGCTTTTTTCCTGAAAACAGCTGTAAATAAGGTTGATGAGAGCTGAGAAAGTCAACCAATTATTTCAACTACTCTTGCATAACCCATAAGTGGAGGAATGTCCTTTTGTCTCTTATACACTTGTGGTATTTGGATAATTTTGGAGTTGATCTGCAAGAGGGTTCTGTAAGTGTTACCATTAATCTGTCTTTGGAGCCAGAATCGCCCTTTTCAGTGAACATAAGAGTGGCATTTATACACACAGGTAATAACTCGCCTGCTGACTGTAAAAGCGTAGTGACTGTTTAAAGAGCATTGTGGTCAAGTATTTTTTGTGTGTTTGGTCTGTGATGTTTCTACACTGACCAGACATTGCATTTAATGATACCATTATTCATCAGTTGCCATTGGATGAATGGTGCAGTGTAGAGCTGCAACTATTATTTTCACTATCAAGCGTCCTATTTTTTTTATTATTGGATCAGTCCTTTGGTCTATAAAATGTCAGAAAACAGTGAGAAATGCCCATTGGAAGTTCCCAGAGCCAAATGTGACGTCTTAAAAATGTTGTTTGGTGCAACCAACAGTCCAAAACTCAAAGCTATTCTGTTTACTTTGATACAAATCAGTGAAAAGTGATAAATCCCTAATTTAGTTTCACTTGTCATCAAAACATGGATTAGACCTAATTTATTTCATTTTTGTTCATTAGTTTTGTGTCCATATTCAAACAGTGTATGTTTTATTCTGGGATTAATAAGTAACTTATATGAAACCTATTTCCAGATTCTTTTGCCATTATATCATTAATGGGTTTCTAGGAAGACTGTATATAGACGACAGGGGAAGTTACAGAGTAACTTTATGACATACAGCTCAAGATTGTGTTGCCAGTCATGCCTAATGATTCCTGAAGATCAATACTGAGATATAGTTTTGTTTTTTTTTACATCCTGGGACTCTACCGGGACCCCACAGTGTTTGAGTTTATGCTTCTGATGCCTTGTTTTGACTTGACTAACCCACTTACATATGTTTCCGTCATGTCAGCCTTCCACCGGTGAATTGTTGCACATTCTCCTATCTTTTTCCGCTCTTTCGTTGCTGCCGTTTTTCATGCCCCTGAAGGCTGAAATGGTTTTGGTTTGACTAATGATTTGACTTCCAGGACAACACAAGCAGCTGATTTGCATCTGAGCAAGCATCTACAGGCAGCAAGTCTCAGCTCACAGAATCCCACAGTGATTGGTGATGTGAGTTTAAGTGTGATTTGAGGAGAGTTAATTCATTTTGACTTTTTTTGTGAAATGTAGGTTGGATTTGATATTGGGTTTGAGTTAAAAGAGAGTTCCAGCTTTTAGCTCAGTGACTGATTTTGTGTATAACATCTCTTAAAGTGTTGTTATTGTGCTAAATGGCTGTCAGTGGTGACCAACACTACTGGCTCTGTTTGTATGCTTTTT